AAAAAATTGTCAAAGGAAACTGTAACTGTTGAGCCCTTATTACTGTATTTCTCTCATTTTATACCTAATTATTTTCAAAGATTCTAAATCGAAAATAATTTTTGCAATATTTTAGTCATAATTACTAACTCTAAAGTTGTTTACTGCAAATTTGTTATGCCTATAGAGCTTTAAATCTATAAGTTTTCTTTGCTGTTTTAATATGACATTTTATTCAAAAATTTACCATTTACTCTTTAATTTAAAAAGCTACAGTTTTTTATTTTTACATTTACGTTTAAGTTAGCTCTTATATTCTAGGTCACATAAATATGTAAACAAACATAAACGACTTAAGCATTTAGCGTTGAAATAACTGCATGAAAAGTTTATGTCGACTGGGAATGTCATTAAAATATTTTACGGTTTTTCCGGTTTCTCGACAGTATTATTGTTAATGCTTGATTGATATTGATAAAGTTTTGATCAATTTACCAATGCGGTGATTTATTGTAATCTTTCTGGAATTTGTCTAATTTTAATTAATTTCAACTTACGGTTAGGCATTATTAGCAATATGCAGCAAAAACTTTTATAATTTCTAAACAGGTGTTTTCTATGTATCAGCAGTAAAGCATTTAAGTATTCTCAGTGGCAAACAGTCTTTTGCTGTTTCAGTAATTCGATTATAATTTTTTAGTAGACAGCAGCAGAACACTCTTATAAGACTGCTTAGACTGATTAGGTCTTGTATTTTGCTTTATTTCTGATTTGCACTATACAAAATTAGATTTAAAAGTACAACAGACTGTGCTCTTTTTTCCTTATAGTGCCAGTCAGTTGTTTTGCAAAAGGATTATCTCAATTTCTACATGTTTTTTTTTCAACAACGTAAAAACCCCAGTAAAGTTTTTTTTGCATAAGAAATTTTGTTTTAAAAAAATTGGAAAATTGTTGAGCATACGCTAAGAACGGCGTAGGTGTGATAAAAGTGAAAAATTTTGGTGGGTAGAAAACTGCGAATATTTGAGTCTTACTTTATAGTTTGTTAAAGAAAAAACGTCAAATCTAACAGCCGTTCAGCTATACACTGTACCAGTTCAACATAACCTAAAGCCGAGTTGCTTAAAAAAAAGAAATAATAAAATTTTAAGAGTAGTTTTATCTTATTACGGGTTTAAAGCTAACTTTAAATTACACTTTAACTAACCATTTGAGACCTGGCTATTATGCTGCAATAGCGTGAGAATAAATTTTGTGCTGTTGTTCTTTGCAAAGTTGGTTTACTGACTAACGAACTATCTTATAATAATAATGATAATGGTTGTAATAATAGTGCCTAGGCTATTCAGTCTGTAAAGTCTACTTTTATCATAAAAAAGAAAGCAATATCATTTCATTTCTTGATTCAATTATGCTCTAAGTTACTGTAAGAAATTTTTTTCTATTATTTCGTCGTCATCATTATCATTAAACCATCCAAAATCTTATCATTATATTTAAAGAAAACCTACAGGCATTCTGTTAAATTTGTTAATTTGTTGTCTACGAGTTGGAAGAAAGCAATAATTGAATGCTATGGTAGAATTAGTTAGGCAGAAGTGTAGCGAGAAAGAGAGTAATGGAAGTGGTGAAGAAGAAAATCACCAAAAAATGAACATAAATAATCAGGGGATTTTTGTAAATTAAAGATTATTTTTAAAAAGAGCTGAAATTGTAATTTAAGATAAAACAAATTTTAAAAATTATACTGATTTCGACAGGTAAACAACTTTTTATCTTTCTATTTTTGCCTTCTTTTGCTGTAAAATCATTGCGGTAACTGTAAAACAAAGGCGAAAAATAAGCTAAAAAAACTTCTGTTCAGACAAGAAAATTATTGTCAATGAAAGGATGCTGAATGATAGGCGGAAAAATGTGATAGAAAAACAAGACGGGCAAAAAATAAAAAAGTTATTCTTAGAGAAAAGGAGATTATCTGAAGGATTCTGTGTTATGACTAAACATTAAAAAGGTGTTGAATGGTAGAAAAAAAAAGTAAAAAATAAAATTTATGCCAAGGACCGAAAAAAATCAAAAACTTATTTCTTTTTTTCCTTTTTGTTTTGTGCATTTGTCATTTTTACTGCAGAAATTTACCATAGTTTAAGCGAAAAAAAAAAAGGAAAATTTACAAAAGTTTTCTCTGATTTATGAGAAAAGTTTGTTCATATAAGCTATGGCTAATCAAATGCATTAGTTACCTGTCCCGTTCTGAACGATGGTGGTGATAATGACAATGTTGAGTTGTAGAGTTTTAGTAAAATTGAGTTCTAATAAGTTGACAGTAATTGAATGAATAACTATTAATAAACAGTATATGTTTTTTTCTTTTCTTTTTTTTTTTTCTGGTTATTGCATATGGTCAAATTTATTTGGTTCCAAATACCTTCGTAATTCAAATTCCATCTGACTGATTCATTTGTTCAGTTAGTCAGTCAGTTATTCAATCAATTTTTCATTCATTCACTCATCCATCTATCCGTTCCGAATAAACAAATGACCGGAAAAGAAACAGTTTATTTTATGATTTTCTTTATATACGTGAATTGTTTAAAGCGGAAAGAAACTGAAAGTTGCTGAAATTGAACAGAAAATGTGATTATTTTTATTGAAAAAAATTTCTTAAAGATAAATAGATAAATGAGGCAAATAAATTATGACGTTTTCTAGCAACATGTTCTTTATCAGTTACCCTAAAAGCATTATGAAATTCAACCAAATGCATACAAACAGGTTACACTAAAAACAGCGACATTCAAAGACAGTGATGTGCCGAAGACTGCAATAAGTTTATATATCGGTTCAATTGTAACCGAGTTCAATAGTGCTTCTATTTTCTGTGCTGCTTCTTATTGGACAAAACACAGATTTTGCAACCTTTAAAAGGCAAAAAAAAAAAAAAAAAAATTGGAGAAAAAGTAGCAAAATAAACAGATGCTGCA